GGGGGTTACATAATTTATTGAAATGTAATAGTTGTAGGGAAAATTTTGATAAATTTACGAAAATGTTACTAAAAAATAAAATACAAACTACGGTACGTTAGTTTAAAAGTTAGTGAAAAATGGTATGTCCCCCGCCCCCCTTCTCCAACGATTTTGGCAAAAGAAATATTACATAGCCAGAAATGAGCGATATAGTGATTATGCAACACTAAGTGATCACCCGTGCCTGATTTCCAATATTTATAGTAAATTGTATTACTAATTCAACAATACAATACAATTCCTGAGATGCGAAGATCGAATTCAGTCAAACAAATGGTAGCAAACAAACTGAGCCTAAAATTGTGTTGTCTCGATGTCGACAAACCTTGTCCCTGAGAAATTCAAAATCACCAGCGAGACCATAGTGAATTAGTTAACAAAAAGCATGAAAAATTGCAAAATACCCTGTGAAAATCCTTCGCAGCGTGTTATAGACAATACAAATTTCTACATGCGAAGCTTGTTCCGGCAAGATGAGGTTCTTACGGCTTTGAATTATATAAAAACGAAGAAATATATTGTTCCCTTCCCTTGTCCCTGTCTTGTTGTTTTGACAGTAGTTAAGAGCATCCAAGACTCTGCTCGCAGGGTAGTCTTGGATGCTCTTAACTACCTTCAAGACAACAAGGCAGGCACGACTTCGGCCACACCCTTTTGGTTGGGCAAAACAAGCTCACACACACACACACACACACCAGCCGTAATACCGAAGTTACGGCCCTGTTAAAACATCAAAGTGTCATGAATCTGTTGTACAGTTTGTCTTGGTAAAGATATTGATCTTCTTCCTAAGACTTTGTGTTTGAAATAATGGCCGGACAGGTGCCTGCAGGCCTCGAATTTCCCTGAAATCAATCGACGGCAATGGCTTTAAAAATTGCCGTAGAACGTAACAGCTGTCTACGGCAATTTTGGCAGTTTCCACGGCATTTTTCAAATTACTGTAATAAAACTTTAATTTTATTGTCACTTTGGATTCTTGACAAGCTAGAAACATGTCTACGTATTTCTTTAGTGTTTTTTTTTTTCGAAGAAAACTGAGACTAAAATAGTGATTTACGCATGATTTGATCAACATCTGAATTCAAGTATCAAAGTAGTAATGCAAATGCACAAACTACACGGCAAAAAATTGCCGTCGTTGCCGCAATGATCCGCGGCATTTTGTTCTCCCTCTACGGCAATTGCCGCGATTGCCGCGATAAAATTCGAGCCCTGGGTGCCTGTCACATTGTTCGGTTAATTTTTGCTCAGACACAACCTATTACTCATGCTGTATTATCATGCATGAATAAACGAACCCTTGTAATAGTCACTTTAAATGTATGGATTAAATAAATCTATTTTTAATTTATTTAATGGTTGATTGATGTGTGCACACAAGATCTCTCTTCTAATTATAGTTTTTCTATTCTACAAATTTTATAATATTTTTATCCTCAGTAAGATTTAATTGTAAAGTTATGGTATATATTTTTTAATATAATTATTGTAAAAATCATGTAATTCAGCCTCCGGGCTGCGAGATGATTTGATTTTAATAAACCCTTTAATAAATTTATTTGCAATAACAATATTTTGTAAATTCAACAAATTATTTAAATGACAACAATAAAAAGTAATTAAATATATGCGCAATATTATGTGTGCTACTAGGTTTACTTAATTAAGTCTAAATTAACTTTATTGTAGAAGCTAGCACTACAGTGTAGCAGTCTCACAGTAATTGCTATATATATATATATATATACAGTTCAGGGAAAACAAGATTTCTGAAACAAGCGTTGTCACACGGTTCACGAAATAATCATTAAATCATTGTTTTATCACTGAACAACGTTTGACGAAAGCTTATCTGTTGAGGCGTCTGCTTTTGAGTTCCCTTCTCTTTCTCGTACTAGCGCTCATGAAGAATAATTAGCAAATGTGCCACTTTGAATTGCGAATTGATGACACCATGGACTGTTCATGACTCGAACTGTTTTCTTGCTTTATGGTCGTTTCGTACCCCAGTCATTTCGTACTCTTATAACCGTTTCGTACTCAGACTTGGTCGTCTCGCTAAGTCGTCTCTCGGACTTGGTCATATCGTTAAGAAGGCTTAAGACGGTCCCTGTACTCAAAGAATCTGAAGATAAATCTAGTTGTTGGATACGAAGCGAAGAATTTAAACGTGACATACAGCTAACTGACTTAGGTCAATATGATAAGGTTCGTCATTATGCGCTTTTGAAAGAAAATTGACACGAATTCCTTAAAATTAAATTAAATT